AATCCAGTCTAATCGATCGAGACTCAGAAAGTACATGGGAGGTACGCGGACTGAAGGCTTGACGTGCTCACCGAAAGGATCCTTGCGTCATTTATATGGCGTGTCACCAACAAGAACCTCAAATAGGAAGTTTGTTGGTACTACGTGGTAATGGCTATTGTTGCATAGCCCCGGGTGCTGCTCCCCACGCCATCACCTTTCTCTTTGCCCCGCAATCAGGCTCGGTCCACACAAGCTGAACGAGCTCGGCTGATGGGCGTCATCGGATTAGTTGAATTAATCAGACCACTAGAAGCTCTATGGCGTATTGTTGTGATGCATTCTTGCATTCCTCCCCGGTCCATGCGTGCCTCCTTTAGCCCACACAGAGTAGGCCCTATATGCCGCCAATCCTTCGAACTTTGATATGCCGTTTCCTGTGAGACAGGGCAATATAGGACTCAACATGAATGACCAAGGTAGCCTGCTTGTATGTCCATGTCGCGGAACATAATGAAGGAAAGTAATGGGGATACGTGTAGGTGGGCCGAGATGGAGCATAGATGGCTAGATTCGCATTGGCTGAGCGAAAACCCGTTGGTAGATTGATTAAATGTACCAGCTTGTGGACTTCTGGTCTTGATCAGGAAACTTCTGCTATCATGCTTGCCATACGCGGATCTCTCAACTCTCTTGACCACAACAAGGAGACTCCTCCAGAGCCCCAGCATTTTTCAGTATCTTGCTTGAAATCGTTCTTCAGTCCTTTACAATCTTTTTCTACTATTACACCAGCAAAATGTCTCCAGAGACCTACGATATTGTTATCGTTGGTGGCGGTACCTCGGGCCTCGTTCTAGCGAATCGCCTCTCTGAGGACCCGAAACTACAAGTTATTGTTCTGGAAAGCGGTGAAGATCGTACCGCGGACGCGACCACGCTGACTCCCGGTGCCTGGCCGCTGCTTTCAAATTCTCCAGCTGACTGGACTTTCCACACCACGCCTCAAAAAGAACTCACTAGGCGGGTCACTATCCCGCAAGGAAAGGCTCTAGGAGGCTCCAGTGCTATTAACAGCTTCCTCTTCACCTCGACGTCTAAAGCCACTGTAGAGGCATGGAAAGATCTAGGCAACGAAGGCTGGGACTATGCTACTTACCAAGAGGCCCTGAAGAGATCATTTACTCTACATAAGCCGTTGGGTGTGACCGAAGGGGAAGGTCCTCTCCAGGTCACACTTGCCGCACCTGAGAGTGATTGGGACAAAGCCTGGATTGACGGCCTGCAATCCGTGGGATATCCGGCAACCGACCCTCTCTCTGGTAGTCTTGGCGGACCAAATATCGCTCCGGAGACTATCAATCCTAAAACAAAGCAGAGGAGTTATGCTACTAATGCGTATCTTGATCCAGTCAGGAACAGACCGAACCTGACCGTCAGAACAGGGACGACAGTGACGAAACTACTGCTTGAAAAATATTCATCAACTGATGATGCTGTCGTCAAGGGGGTTCAAGTACTTTCCAAGAGCGGGGATTTCCACACTGTTGGGGCCCGCAAGGAAGTTATTCTTTCTGCTGGCGCCATCAACTCGCCCAGACTCCTTGAACTCTCTGGAATAGGGGGTGCCAACTTGCTACAGCGCTTGGGAATTGATATCTTCATTGACAATCCCCACGTTGGCGAAAATCTCCAAAACCATCTGTTCACGGGATTAGTATTCGAAGCGCGCGATGATGTTAATACTCTCGATGCCTTCTTTCGCCAGGAACCTGATGCTGTAGCCGCCGCTATGCAGGACTATAGCAGTAAAAGGACCGGCCCAATGAGTACCAGCAATATGGTTACCATGGCCCAACTTCCACTGCCCGACTTCCATGCAGAGACTGGACGTAAGGAGCTCAACCAGTTGCTGGCTGCTATGGATACTCATTCAGATGTATCTCGCTCTCCACCGACCACTCCAGCCTTCGCCGCCGCACAAGAGGCTTTTGTGCGCTCCATTCTCACAAATCCCTCCGAAGCGGTGGGTAACTACGTTTTCGGTACAGCGTATGCGCCTTTCGATGCCCCCAGTCCGACTTACCGTGCTCCTGGCAAATTCGTCTCAGTCGCAGTCGAATTATCGCACCCCCTATCCCGCGGCTCTGTGCATATCACTAGTGCCGCGCCAGAACAAACCAATACTAACGAAGGCGTGCTTATTGACTGTCGTTATTTATCCCACCCGTTGGACCTTGAGGTGCTCGCGCGCCAGGTCCGCTTTATGGAGGATATCATTAGCCGCGCAGAGCCCATCACACGGTATCTGAAACCGTATACCAAGCGGTTTAGGGACCTGGAACTAACAAAAGATTATGTTCGCCGTACGGTGGATGGGGCTTACCACTACACCGGCACGTGCTCTATGATGCCACGTGCCATGGGTGGCGTGGTGGACCATAAACTGCGCGTGTATGGATGCTCTAACCTCCGTGTTTGCGATGCAAGCATCATGCCCCTAGAGCCGACGGCGAACCCCCAAGCAGTTGTCTATGGGGTTGCCGAGCTGGGCGCTAGCGTCATCAAGAAGGACTTATTTTGAGTTGAGACGGCAACTTGGGATGCTCTATTATCGAACTGGGAGATGAATGGATATTGGCGGCGTTACGGAAGGGGGTGCTACTACTCAGGCTTCAGAGAGTGTTTGTGGAGCTTGGCTCGCGAGTCGTGGGGAAGAAGAGGTAGAGTGGCGAAGATATCTGCATCGCGCTCGCTGACGACTTTCATTTAACCCATGCTCGGTATTTGTATTTCTTTTCAAAGCAGCCATCCTCTATGGTATAGTTTCTGGCTAGTGCGTATCTTGAACACCTCTGGCAGGTTGTATGGTAACCTCTAGCACGACGAGCAATGAGAAAGAATCAGCTGATATGGTCACTAAATAATATAGTTCGGACGCTAGATATGGTCTCATGTAGATGCGTTTCTCTCCGGGGAACTCGGAAGGTATCAGCGACTGGGCTGGAATATTGAAGAGATAGACCGTGGAATTCGAGCACAAAGCTTTCCCTCAGTCACTAGTATCAAGAGTCTAATAAAATAGGCTGGTTCCTCATGACTAAGCATCCTGTTGTAATGGCAATGGCGGTACATGAGGGCGCGCAAGAACTTAGCGTCTACTTCAATATCGCCTGCCAGCCCTTTCGACCGACATATCCAGTCACGCCCTCATCCCCCAGTACCTCGCTACCCAACCGTCCCGTAACCACACTCCGCTCATGCTCGACGCCGCGAACATAAAAGGGGTAGGTCAGCCGTGAGATGGTAGTCTTATCTCCATCCCTTCCTTTCCCCTTCCCCTCTTCTCTTTTCTGAAGAGGCTCTATCGGCAAGCTTGAATCAGAATCTGCACTTTCCCAAACAATCCTTCCTTCTCTCCATCGCTTCACGAACCCACTCGCCTCGCGGTCCAAGGATAGATACCACCGCCGCTGGTGCACGCTACCAATCGAATTCGTCGCGCCAGGGTACGCATTGGTCCTGCGGACTTCCTCGTCTTCAAGCTCGCGTAGTTCGCGCTCAGTCGCCGAGATGCCCTTTTCGCCTTCATTCACTTGCTCGGCGGGCGTATGCACGATTTCTGCGTCGTCCTCGTCATTACCGGTTCCGGTACCCTCCTGTTGCTTTCCAGCGTCTCTTCGAGAGGGAGTAGAGGAAGAACCCGGTTCGGAGTCGGAGCTCGTAGCGTACTCAGAGACATTCTTGCCTTTCGCAGACCTGGTAGTCCTACCCGAGAGCGTAGACGGTGCGCCGCGCCGCCTTCGTGTCTTGGGGACCCGGGTACTGCGTGCCCGGCCTGCGGCATCTTCCTCGCGCGTTAGACGTAGATACAGCACATATGGTGTTGGTAGGCGTGTGCCGTGAAGTTGTATGCGAATCTTTCGCGCTGCAAACGCTTGATGCAGCTTCTGCTGCTCTGTCATTTGCTGCGAGCTGCTTTCTTCATCTGATGAGGATTGGGAGTCATCTCGCGACTGCTTGCGCTCTGTTGGCAAGATGGTGTAAGTTCCTGTATCCCAGATGAGGAGAGAGCCGGTGGCGTGGGAACCGGTTTCAATGAGATGATTCTGTTGCCCGTTAGTGTATTCTTCCTCCAAATGAATGTATTAAATAAGCCATCACTTGCCCATAAACAATGTATTCGCGTCTCGGTCGCATTTCGATTCAGCCGAAAACTATTCGGATCCCCGGGCAGTCCATACATGATGGCCCATGACGCACTGCTCGTCTCATTGATTTGCAGCCGTAGGTCGTAATGCGTGCCCGCAATCGGGTGGTCATGCTGATGGATGATGAAGTGCGCACCGTGAGAACTTCCCGCGTTGGCCTCGTAAAGTTTCCGATACCCTTCCACGGCGAGGTGAGGAGTATTCGAAGGGAAAGGTGACACAGCAGTCTCTTGTAAACGCGTACTGAAGTAGTTGAGATGGTTGTTTATACAGGCTTCGCCGGCTTCAACGGCGGAAGTGTTTGGTTGCTCCTCATCTTGGCACTGTGAGGGCTCTTTGTCGTCATCGGAGCTGCTTGAGCTAGCAGCATCGTGCGGCAAACCAGTGATGTCAATGCTCCATTCCAGATTTCTCTTTTTGATGAAGGGGTTCGGCACCAGCTCTGGGCTGCGCGATCGTTTAATGGCCATGATGAATCATCGCTAGCGGCTTGAGTCCGGTAGACGGTGGTAATGTGGCAGGATACTTGTGCTGCTGACTGGAAGACGATATCTGCTAGAGCATTGCCGGCGCAGATAAAAGGCCCAGAAGTCGTTTCAACTGCTTCATTGAAACAAAATCTCAAATATGGGACAGATATCTGAACACAATCAAGGGTTGGTGCGGATAAAAACTTAGACCGTCGTCACAACTATATGTATCTCTAAATTCGATCAACGTCACACACCTGTTTGTATCATACCTGACCAACATTTGTACCACAGATCCAGACCAAAAAGAATTCGGCTCTGCTTTTAACAAAACAACAGCTGATGAGAGTGGGACTCGAACCCACGCGGATTGCTCCACTGCGAATTTCGATTCAGGTAGCCTGAACGCAGCGCCATAACCACTCGGCCATCTCACCCTGGTCCTCGTGTTCTCTCAAACCCTCTGAAATTATTTTGTCCTGAAGGAATATACAAAGGGAGAATTTGATAGAAAACATCATGATCACACATCTCAACTTAGTGAAGACTAATAAGTTGGTTACAATTACTTTAGCAACACATGAAACATATCTACTTGAAAGCATCCTTGAGGAATTACCATTGTGCTTTCAAGACCCAGGCTCTCTCGATATAGACACCGTGCATGGAATAGCATCTTTATGCTATTCGGTTGGGAGTCGAATTCCTTTCTTTCTTGTATCCAGCTGCATATTGACTCGAAGAATGATCGGGTCCTACTTAGTCCCTTAACGGTATTTACTGTGCCCTTTGAAATGAATAATGCTCTCTGAGAAAGGTATTCGATGCTTTAAGGGAAATTTACACCACAGTTCAAATGTTGTGCCTATGGACTTGCCGTTCTTGACCGTAGTCAGAAAATCAAAATTGCTTACGACTGGTTCTGCGTATCGGCGCCTCAAATTTCGTGCCACCGACCCCTCCAGGGAGTCTTCTATACTGTCACCTCCCTTGATATACCCGCCCTACCCCAATCCAAGTGCGTTATTACTAGCATCGAGGCTTCCAATACAGTATCTAGAAACTCATTTAACTAGGTCCCTGAAAAGAAAAGCAACGGATAGCGGATACCTTAAGGTATCACTGGAACTTCTTGTACTCAGTCTTGCTCTAACAAGCAGCACAGACTACTGTGTTCGAAACCACTGACCTACACTATCAAGTGAATCAACTAACAAACGGCCTCTCATAACTATCCTGCGGGAAGGGGGAGAGGCGGTGTCCCAATAGACGACCATTACCGCGGGCTAAATTCCGGCGTTAGAGAGCCGGACGTCCTCTCCGGAAGCTTGGAGCGCCTCAGAAAATTCGGCAGCTTGTTCCATTCCTACAATCTCTACCGTAGTACCTTGCTTCTAGTCAAGCACTGCCGTAGCCATCCTGTGCTCGGTCATCTGTACATCACAGAGTTAAACTTTTTGTACTAGATGGATATGCTGAGGAGGTGGGCAACATACGACTTCTAGAGACCGGACTGTGGGTTGAGCTCCTTGGGTTTGTTGGGTTGTGTCGTAATCGGTTTATTGTATGATGAGTCTCAGAGGGAGCTGGTCCCATCACATCTATAAATTCGCTCCATGTGAGCTCTAGATAGCCACGAAGTCTTCCAAGGGGGTCTCTGGCATGCCCGAGCAATGGCAATTGTCGCAGATCACTAGAACGACATCTTTAATAATTGACTGTGCCGACGGATAATTTCTGGTATAAGAGGTGTATACCTCCCATATAAACGACTGAATAAGCGTCGAGACAGATACCGACTGGATGTAAACCTAAGACAGTATTTGAGATAAAGTCGGAAACTCAAATGCCACGACATGATATTTGGCCGATACCGATGTCCGTGGTACTGAGCGCCCGCTCCGAGTAAACGTGGTAAGGAAACTGCAAGACTCTTGAAAGTAGAAATGGTCACAGCTTCTTTCAAGGCCGAAGAAGTAGGTCCAACCTAAGTTGGCTACAAGACAGCAGACAACATCGGATTTGTGTTCTGAAGGGTCCAGTTCAAGTCCTCATACTTAATTCCAAGCCTGGGAATCCTGCTGCAGAGAGTAATGAGAACGTTGGCGAGGAAAACACTGGCGGGCTTGTATTCGTAGTAAGGTGCTGAGCTAGTAATTTAGTAGACCTCCAATTAGCTTAAAGGCATAGTTAATGTGTTAATCGGGTCGAGGATAGCCTCGAAAGCTTCTGCTCAAGTGTTCTTGACCTGATGTACCGCATGAAGGGACATTCTATAAATTTGATTGAATTGACATTTCACTTCTGTCGCAGGAAGAGATGAAGTAAGAATAATAAATGTATATCATTAACACTAACAAAAAGAACTTATTTCTGGGTGTAGGGTATGCAAAGCGCAGTAGAGACTATTAAAGCCGATGCCGTTCTGTTATGCTGAAAGCAGCCATAATGAAATCAGCCAAAAACCATTCATTCGCCCTTCCCTTAACGCCGTGGTATGAGCTACACCTGAGCCCTTGTGCCTATGTAACGACGCCCCTTGGGCATCACAGCATCATTAGGTGAAGTGTGCCTCGAGTTTCGCCGCCAATTCATCGCGCTCTTTCGATGCCTTCATTATATCTTGTATGCTTCATCTTTTTCACAGAGACCGTTCCCATCCTACGATCGCCGTAGGTCTTTTACTTGTACTGCATAGGTTGTTGACCCTGAGGCGGCGGGCCACCCCAGCCTTGATGCGGTCCTTGATTCTGCATCGGTATATTGTTGCCTCCACCCTTCATGTTCATAACGTCGGGTCTGTTCTCGAGCGGCTGGGCAAAGTTGCAGACGTGGCAGACCACATCATGGTAGCCTTTGAAGGAGAGAGGTAGGACAGGCTGCAGAATTAACGAGTTAGCGCATTCCATAGTTGTGTACGCATGGACTGCGGCTTTATACGGAAACATGAGATCTCAGGAAATAAGAGAAAGGAATAACTTACGACGAAGCAAAACGTAAACCACGGGTTACTCTTGATGACATGGGCAGCGTAGTTACCACAGTTGTGGCACTGGCAGGTGATGCCCTCGTATCCCTCAACCTCCTTGCGGAAGGTGTGCTCGCCGCAGGTGAAGATCAGACACATGGTTCAGTGAGTGCGGCTGCGGCGGGCCGTCGGTAAGTGGTGATGGTTCAAGACGGCGCAGGCGGCGCAGAGTGCGATGCGGTTGAAGACTTGAGGTGGGTAGAATTCGGTTGTGCTAAAGCTAGTTTCGCGTCGCAAGAGTCGTAAATATTCAGGTATGAAGATGGAAGGAAATAGGTAATGTGTGGACGTGTAATAGACTACGGGAGGCGATCGTGCGAGGTTGATCGATTCAGGTGTTCCAGCTTTCATCACTCAATAGAGACATGTGGAAGTGGATGCTTCGTCACTGAGACTGAGCCACGCCACCGAAAGAGCTTGGATGTCGCAGCCAAGAACGACAGAGCTGTCCAATAGCGCTGAAGGAGGCGGCATCGGCCGCCTGGAACCACGTCTAGTGTGGGTACTAGGAGGGGACGGAGAAGGTACTTATGTTTTGGCTGATCGGTCATATAATTCTACTGTATCAGCAAGGTACTCTAGCCAAGTCCCTACAGTCACTCACAGGAAGTGGCATGGTTAAGTCTCAGGTTCCTAATTGCAGAGAATAATATATGACTCCCCAGATAGTTGTAATAACAAATTATATAAACTATGCATTCAATTCCGATAAGGTTCGTCGTTTGGACAACAATTCCATGTTTTCAAGGTATGAATTGCATGTGTTGTCACGGTATTTTGGCTCTCGATGAGATCCACTGTACTCCACAAGAGCTTCTAATGTACCCCAGAGGAGCTTAATCCGATAAGAAAAATATCTGGGCAAGAACATTCACTCTTATCTGATAATTTACATAGATAGAATTTCAAGTCCCGACCCCTCCAGCGCGCCCATAAGGATAAATACTTCACGTCAATTCCAGCTCATATCTCATGCCTTCATTCTTTATATAAACCATGCTCTACGACCTCAACATAGCGTGGTCCCCCCACGCGAGCGCCGCAGACCTCGAGCGCACGCTCCGCTTCAGCGCATCGCTAGGCTACAACGTCGTAGCCCTCAACCACACGATCGGTGGCCACATACCGCCCAACGTCACGAACCCGCTCCCGAAATTCGACAATCCTACCCATCCCACTTCCTCCTCCTCCCCCTCTCTTCCTCATTCCTCTTCATCCTCCTCCCCCTCAAAACCCAAACTCCCCACCGTCCTCCGCCGCGCCACAATCCTCCTCTCCGAACCCGCGCAACACCACCGCCTGCCGCACCTCGCCGCAGCCTACGACATCCTCGCCGTGCGCCCGCAGACCGAAGAGAGCTTCTCGGCCGCCTGCCAGTCCCTCAGCGATATATCCATAATCTCCCTCGACCTCACCGTGCGCCAGCCCTTCGTCTTCCGCCCGAAGCCGTGCATGTTCGCCGTCAGCCGCGGCGTGCGCTTCGAGGTGTGCTACGCGCAGGTCCTGCAGGGCCCCGCGCCCGCACATATCCTTCAATCTAAGAGCTCCAAGGACGGGTATAGCTATGCCGGTAATGCAAGTGTAGGCATAGGCGTTGACGCGCGCGCCCGCGCGACGTTTATCGGGAATGTGGCCTCGCTCATCCGCGCGACGCGCGGGCGCGGTATTGTGATTAGTAGCGAGGCGCAATCTGTGCTTGGCTTGAGGGGTCCTGCGGACGTGGTGAATCTGCTTCATGTGTGGGGGTTGCCGACGGATCGCGGCACGGAGGGGCTGGGTGTGTTGCCGCGCGGCGTCGTCGTTAACGAGGGGTTCAAGCGCAGTGGTTTCAGGGGCGTTATTGACATTGTCGGTGTTGCGGACCGTGTGCAAGGCGATGTCGAAATGGGCGAAGCTGGGGATGATAATCTCGCGTCTGGCGCCGGGAATGCACAGGGTAATAAAGGGAAGAAGAATAAGGGTCAAGAAGGGAGTGGTGGTCCTGGGGCAAAGAAAAGGAAGAATGGTAACGATGCTGAAAACGCCGTTGCTACCGGGGGTGATGGCGAAGAGCAGCCGATGAGTAAACGTCAGGCGAAGAAAATAAGAGCTGCCCTGCGGAAGAAACAAGTCGAAGATGGGGCAACTGGCACATAAATGGGGTTTTAATAACGTGATTGATCTGGCGTTTTGGGCTCGGAGGGAAAAGTTAGACTTAGACTTATGATACCCCTTCAATATACTTGCTACTTCAAAGTAAAGCACTATGAACATTGTGGCCGCATTGTGATTTAGTTTCTCTCGTGTGTTTGTTAGATATGCGTCTGGTCAGATTCTTTATATTGCATTATATAACCAAGAACAGAAGGGTCCTCCACCAGGGGGTTTTATCAAGTATTCAAATCTAGAAGGTTTACATATATATATCTC